AAATATATGTTTATCAAATAAAGTCTAATGTTACAACTAATCAGGGATCCCTTTAAAATTGTTCCATGATGTCATGTTTATGAGTCTTCATGTGTGTCTGCATCCATGGATCCTCATTACAAAACATTTTGAGACTTCAGTTCGTCCATCCTCGTGTCCTTTGCTTCTTCTCTCCTCTGTGCATCAACACCTTATTTTGGTGGATGGGTTTGTGGTCCAAAATAATCCTAGGATCTTTGCTTCAGGGGTAGTTGTCCCTGATATGGTCAGTCAAGGCAGATTGGTCCTTGATGACAGGTATGACATATGACATATGAACAGAAGACATCAAGAGCTCAGTGTCCACCATCCAGACATGGGTTGGGTAACAACAACTAGTTATAATGCTGTGTAATTACAGGTTGTAGCCAAGGTGTTTAGGTTTTTGAAAGTTTTTACAGAGTTTTAAAATCCAAGCGTCCATATTTTCTTCTTCCTCTTCTTCTTGGTGGTCTCTTATCAGTTTTAACACAATAAAACCCTGGTTGTCTCTTTGAAATGCTGAGGCGCTCAAGTGTGAGCTGTTTGGAATCAGTGGAGCATTAATCTGGACTATAACTTGAGATAATTTTTAATTAAATTCTCCCCTGCAGTAGAGAGAAATCTGTCTTCATTTTCTTTTTATGGGTTGAGTAATTCCTACAATAATTAAATACTTAGTGTTCTTTCAAGGTCTCCTTTCATATGAGTTTTAGACTAAGATCTATTTGTGTTGTAGCTGTTTTAGTCAAATCTTTAAAATAATGTTATGTTAAGAAATCTCAATAAATGTCACGTTCAGTCTGTGTTTTGTGACTCTCGGTTACTCACATCAAACTTTAGGTCCTCATCAGTAAAACTGACTCAATTATTGCCATGTTTGTGTTTTCTAAGATCAGTTGACTCCAAACATTATTCACTGACAGAGATTTAAGCAGCAATAATTTCCTGGAAGTTTCATTCAAATCAGTCCAGTGGTTCATGGGATATTTTGCTAACAGACAGACATCCAAACACACACAGAGGCTAAACATTATCGCTTGCTGCCAGATGGTGAGGAATAACGTAATGACTGCAGTTGTTAAATAAGGCTGTGAACTGTATAACGATTCCACACTGACACATTTTAAACTATATAAACTTTAAACTACCGGTAGTTTAATTGTTTTGTTTACGGTTGAAATCAGGTGTGAATTGAATTAAGGCTAGGTTTAGGGTCAGGTATGTACTCGGGTGGTTGGGTTTAGGGTAAAGGGTCAGGGTTAGGCTGTAGAAATGACCAGTAAATGAATGAAAGTCAATGAACAGCCCTAATAAGGATAGAAAAACAAATGTGTGTGTGTCTGTGTGTGAGTGTGAAGACAGATGGCGTGTCACTCCATCCTGCTCACCCTCATTATTACTCACCAGAGAAGTTCCTGGAGACGAGCATGGTGGTCAAAATGGCTCCCTGCGAAGAAAAGAGGCGACAGTAGTGACAAAGCTAATTTAACACGTTGGTGCTGATTTCAAAGCCGAATGACTTACAAACAAAAAGCTAATGAGATAAATCCAATTTTCTGATGAAATGCAGTTTTGTTAAAGTTGCAAGAAACAAAACAGAGACGAAAAACAGCAAAACACAAGCTAAAAGCAGCTGAACTCAATGAAAATTACGCTAAATGTGAAACACGAGCTAAAGGCTACAAAACTGTTGAAGATTAAAAGATGAAACAAGCTAAAATGAGCCTAAAATGACCATAACAAAGGTCACAATAAGAGTCATAATACAAAGTAAATAAAAGCATAATGCAAGCTAATTCTACAAGCAGCCAAGTAGTAGCCAAAATTAGCTAAACAATCACTGAAATTAACAAAACGGTAGGTCGAGGTATGATAAAAAGACAAAAACTAATGCTGGAGCTGAATGAAAGAATCGAGGAGGTCTCAGTGTATTTCTATGGGGTTTTTTATTTAAATCAACATTTTTGCTAAAACGTTTTAAAAAAATCAAACACCTTGTCTGACACTGATAAGAATCGCTTCTCATTCTATAAATGCGTAAAAGTGTTGATAAATCACTTCAACTCCACCATCAGCTCCAAGCTTTAAAAATTCCCTGACACATTTGGTGCTTTCACACCTTGAGTTTCCGCCTGGCGTTAAACTTCTTCAGGCACTCGACCGTCTCCTGTCTGTGCATCATGGAGGCCACAGTGGAGCGTTGCTGAGGGGAGACAGAAAACAGAGAAGTGCTGAAAATAAAACATCACAGAGGAGCAGCTCTGCCAGCGACAGCTTTATGTGGGCAGGAGCTGTTGGAGAGTCGGTTTGAGGCTGAGGCTCCTGATGTAACAGAGTTTCTGGGAAGAATCCAGATTTGCTGGGTTTTATTTGTTCAGGAGGTGGCATGGAACAGAGCCAGCTAAATGAACAAAAACAGAACAAACTGTCTAATTTATTAAAGTTAGGAAATGACTATAAAGAAGAAAAGACCTACAGTAGCTGCGTTTCCATTGATCATGAAAATGCGCAAATTAAAATTTCGAAAATAAATTTGCTCAATGGAAACACAACAGCTTCGAAAAAAATTACATTTTTTCGACAAAATGTTTTTGCGCTAGGATGAGGTGGTTTTTCGGCCGTATCGAAATTGGTGTTTTTCGCAAAACTGCAATGGAAACACTTTTTTCGCATCACAGGAGTCACATGATCACAACCGGCTGTTTCTACTGACGAAAAAGACGAAGAAGAAGAAGAAGAAGAAGAAGAAGATAACAGGAAGTAAAAGTAGTAGTAAATTCACTGAAGTTGTAAAAGAAAGTAGTAAACTACAATTTCCCAAAAACACCGCATACGTAGCCGCTCCCAAGTATAAGGGGCTTGTCGCTGGAAAGCCTCGATAAAACACCGACGTCTCCTCTGATGATGAGCGCTAGTGTTGTGGTAGAAATATGCTTTGTGTTTACATCCATTGTCGTCATGTTTGTAATGATTTATCGCGAGAACAAACGTATTCACGCATGACTTTAATAGCATTTCTTACTTAATGGAAACATTGTAATTGCGAAACTGTTTTTTCAACATTAACAGAATGTCAACAACGTTTTGTGCACATTTGCAATGGAAACGCAGCTAGTGAAGTCTTACATTAATGTTAGAGTTTCAGTCAGAGAGGATGTCTTCTTTCCTGTCAGAAGGACATGATGGTACTTACACAGACCCAGGGGTGCTTCAGCGCCTCCTGGGCAGTGATTCTCTTGGTGGGGTTAATAGTCAACATCTGGTTGATCAGATTTTTGGCTTCAGGAGTGACTGTGTCCCATTCTGGAGAGGGAAACTAACCCATACATGACCACACGTTAAACAGGTCAACAGCACATGTCTGAGTTGAAGACAGCGAGAAACAGAAGCGCTCACGTCGTATGCTCCAGCTTTGATCTGCTGGTAGAGTTTGTGCTGGTCCTCATCCCAGAACGGTGGGTACCCAACCAGTAGGATGTAAAGGATCACACCTACACACAGACGCACGACCTGTCAGTGAGCCATGAGCAGGAGAACGAGGAGGTGGAGGCTCTGACAGCCCAGCAAAGAGCTTACCGCACGCCCAGATGTCTACAGGTTTACCGTACGCCTCCTTCCTCAGCACCTCTGGAGACAAGTAGCCAGGAGTTCCTGCAAAACCTGAACATACAAACAAACATGGGACTTTAAGGGAAGGGGGTGTGGGCTTGTGTTTTTCAGGCAGATAGTTCAATTCTGTACCACTAACAACTAACCATGTTACCTTCAGTTGTTCTGAGAAAGCTGTACGTTAAATCAAAAATAAATTTAACTTTGCTTCATAGCCCATCTAAACATACTGAACTTGGTCTCTGTCTCTTTAAGAACCTCCTACTGTTTCCGACACTCCCACTTCAACATGCCCTCATAACAGGGCTTTGGGGGCGGGGCCTCTGTGGGGCAGGAACTCAGCTGCAGACTGAGCTTCAGGGAGGAGCTTTGTACAAGTAGGTGGTGCTTTGTAGCAGCTCCACACGGCTACCCCAGATCAAACCTGAGAGCTATTGTTGTTGACAGTTTCTTATTTTGGTGCTGGAAAGGGTTTACATTTTGTTCATGTTTGTCTGTTGGCCTGTTGAGAAGTCTGCCTGTTGCTACAGCCCAACTTCATGTTGTTCTTTCAGCTGCTCTCTCTTTTTTTTAGAATCACCATCTGGGGTTGAACCTGCAGCCACAGCATCAGTTATTTTCAGATCATTTCTTTGTTTATTCTCAAACTCAATCCATTCAAACTTGTGTTACATTTTATTTGTAATTTGATTTATTTGCACCACTGAACGTGAACAGCACTGTTATGTTGATTGCTTTGTTTGTTGTTTGCTTAAACGTGACAAAAATTTTATTACATCACAACCACCCCCTGGTGCTGCTCAAATATCTGTTTTTTTTTTCTTAGTCTTTTTATATTTTAGCATCATTTTCTTATTTCCAAGTTTTACGATCTTTATGCTGCTCAAAAACCTCTGTTTCAACCGTTTCACCCAAAATCTTATGATTTTATATTTAAATTCACTCAGTAAACTTGCCTTCCCTCTTAATCAGTTTCCTCCACCCACAACCAGACTGTAACTCATTATCTTTGTCAGATGAATCAATCATTACCGCAAATACTGTCAGAAGACTCCAGATGTTGTTTTGTTTGACTCGGTGTGAATTTGGGCTGGGGTGGGAATCAAAATAAATTTTAACCAGAGGCGCTTATCTGAGCAAGTTTCAAGGAGTTATACCTAAAAAAATAACATCTGAATTATTCTTGATGTAATATTTTTAATTGCAGAATATAGTTTCTAAGTTCCTGTTTTAACAAAAAACAAAATGATAATTATAACGGATTTTCTAGTGAAAAACAGGAGTATAAATTTGGCGCACTGGTTTCAGTCATTCAGGACCATTTTTACCATAATTCAGCTGAACCGTCTTAACAGTGCATGGCTGCAAAGCACAGCACTGTGGTAGACAGGACTCCAGTGCTCAGGAGGAGACTCATATCTGTGGCTGTCAGTAACACCACCTGGGTCCAGGTTAGATTTATTCAGCATCCAGAAAACTCATGGTCCAATGGACACCATCACTGGACTCCACAGACAACTACAAGTGGACCAAAGCCCGGTCCCCACAGGTACCGACCAAGGTGTGAATTGAGTTTAGGATAGTTTTAGGGTCAGGTAGGTGCCTGTGAGGTTAATTTTAGGGTAAATGGTCAGGGTTAGGATATAAAATTACCAGAAAATTAATGGAAGTCGATCCATGGTCCCCACGGGGATATGAAAACAAACTTGTGTGTGTGTGAGTAACTTACCAAACCAAGCCTGTTGTTCTCCTTGAACTTCTATGGCCAGCCCAAAGTCAGCCAGTTTGACGGCAGCATTCTTACACTTACTGGCCAGCAGCAGGTTCTCCGGCTGCAGGTGGAACAAACAGCAACAGTCAGGTCAGCTCTGGTAACTTGGTGGATTTTTGTTGTCTCTGAACATTTCACCTGGATAGGATCTGACCCAGGTGGTCTGCTGGGTTAGTAAATCAAGTCTCTATTGTGTGCCTCTCTGAAGCAATAACAAGACGATTTTCGGAGGAGTTTCTATGTTTTGGATGGAGGTGGCAAATAGAAACTCATTTTAAATTATGTTTACACCTGCACCACTTCCTGTCAATCTGATACCTTTCCTGTCAGTCTGATACCACGTCCTGTCAGTCTGACGCCACTCCCTGTCAGTCTGATACCACTTACTGTCAGTCTGTTGGCATTTCCTGTCAGTCTGATACCACTTCCTGTCAGTCTGACGCCACTTCCTGTCAGTCTGATACCACTTTCTGTCAGTCTGATGCCACTTCCTGTCAGTCTGATGCCACTTACTGTCAGTCTGATGCCACTTACTGTCAGTCTGATACCACTTCCTGTCAGTCTGTTGTCATTTCCTGTCAGTCTGATACCACTTCTGACGCCACTTCCTGCCAGTCTGATACCACTTCTTGTCAGTCTGACGCCACTTGTTGGCTGTGTCCAAAACGACAGGCCAGGTCCTCCGGAGGACCCAGACTCCCCGGTCATGGTGGGCCGGGTCCTTGGTAGACCGGGAAGACCGGAAAAAAAGAGGCTGTGAATTTGGACGGTCTAGCCTCCCCTCCACCCCGGCGTACGTCATGTCACCTAGCAACTGTGACGATGCTAAACAAGCAAACTTAAATCAAAACTAGAAAAATATCAATACATTAGCATTATTAATATCACAAAACTATAAAATTAACTTAAAGGTATCATTTGAAGAACTAATTGACCCGCTGTAGGTGCATATTTATTTCGCGTTTTTTATGACGAAAAAATAATATTTAAAAACATGTCCATACAAATGATAAAAGTGTTAGAATTACAACCGCTAAATTTTTTTTATTTTTATATCACCATATTTTTATTTAAAACGTATTATTTTCTCTCGCTTCGTCTGCCATTACTAACATAAAAAAAATCTCCGGTCGGGTCGCAATGCATTATGGGATATGCTGGGCCGGGAAGGATCCATCGGACCTGTCCTTCGATTCGGACCAAAGGAAGGACGTATTTGTCGGCCGCATCGGAGGAGTCTTCGGTTTTGGACGTCCTTCGTCGCGGCGCTGTGACGTATGCGGCTGACAAATTTGGCCTTCGGAGGACCTGGCCTGCCGTTTTGGACATAGCCCCTGTCAGTCTGATACCACTTCCTGTCAGTCTGATAACACTTCCTGTCAGTCTGATGCCACTTCCTGTCAGTCTGATACCACTTCGGCTGTGTCCAAAACGGCAGGACGGGTCCTCCGAAGGTCGAATTTGTCGGCCGCATACGTCACACCGCCGCAACGAAGGACGTCCAAGACCGAAGACTCCTCCGATGCGGCCGACAAATACGTCCTTCCTTTGGTCCGAATCGAAGGACAGGTCCGATGGATCCTTCCCGGCCCAGCATATCCCATAATGCATTGCGGCCTGATCGGAGATTTTTTTATGCTAGTAACGGCGGACGAAGCGAGAGAAAATAATACATTTTAAATAAAAATATGGTGATATAAAAATCAAAAAAAATTAGCAGTTGTAATTCTAATACTTTTATCATTTGTATGGACATGTTTTTAAATATTATTTTTTCGTCATAAAAAACGTGAAATAAACATGCACCTACAGCGGGTCAATTAGTTTTTCAAAAGATACCTTTAAGTTCATTTTATAGATTTGTGATATTAATAATGCTAATGTATTGATATTTTTCTAGTTTTGATTTAAGTTTGCTTGTTTAGCGTCGTCACAGTWGCTAGGTGACAAGACGTACGCCAGGGTAAGGAGGGGAGGCTAGACCGTCCAAATTCACAGCCTCTTTTTTTCCGGTCTTCCCGGTCTACCAAGGACCTGGCCCGCCGCGACCGGGGAGTCTGGGTCCTCCGGAGGACCCGGCCTGTTGTTTTGGACACAGCCATCCTGTCAGTCTGATAACACTTCCTGTCAGTCTGATAACACTTCCTGTCAGTCTGATGCCACTTCCTGTCAGTCAGTTGTCATTTCCTGTCGAAAAAACATTGTTAAGAAAATAACTCAACCAAACAATATTATTTCAGTTTTTTTTTACATTTATTCTTTTGTATATATTTATTGGTGCTAATGCTAAATGATTTACCTTTGAACCTCATAGTTCTACTATTGTAGCAATTTTGCATGTTTTGTGATTGTTTTCAGTCAATTCAATATCATTTTTTCTAATTTTGGTGGACTATTTATCAGCATTATTGTTTTGCATAATTTTGTAATTATTTCCTGCTTAAAGATGAAGGCAGACAGCCTGTGTGATATATATATATACTGTATATATATATATGTATCACATAAATTACTGTGCATATTTTAACTTGCAGAAAGTAAACACAAGATGAACCTCCATATCTGATTAATTTTTTAAAGTCAATCCAATTCAAACTGGCCACCACAGCAAATCAACCTTAGTAAATGTAAAGGAGGCTGTAAATAAGTCAGTTTTGCAGATCTTGGGCTGAAGTTTGAGGTAGTAGAGTTATTCTCCACACATAATCTGAGAGCTAACATATTCTCATAACTCGGCAACTTCTGATCATAAGCTGATCTGATCTTAAAATAAAACTTTGACCTGATAGGCAGCGGGTGATATGCATTCCCTTAAGTAACAATAGGTCTATATTAATTTAAAGTTAATTTTTTTGTTAGAAAAGTTTAAAAATGTTTGTCAGTTCAAACTCTCTGGTCCAGGAGTTTGTATGTTTTCAGTAAAAGGTCTGTAGTTTGATCTCAGCCTGTCCTGATGTTAAGATAAACTTCTCTGAATTACAGTTTCTGACTTTCTAAAGACGGTACGAAGCACCGACAGTCTGTCACAGACTAATACCAGCTGTCGATGCAGCACATATTTACAGCAGCGCTCTGAGGTATTCAGGTCCAGTGGAACCCACTCAGGCTGAGACTGACAGATGGGACTCAAAGCTCTGAGCTCCTGCAGATACAGTTTGTCTGTTTGCAGCAGATGCTGATGTAACAACAGTAAATATACATCACTGTCCATCACGTCACACAGAGATGTATGCATGAACTCCAGCTGCAGGACTGACATCCTGTCACCCTCTGCTGGTCTGTTTCAAAACTTTAACAGCTGCAGGAAGTATCCTGCATCTATCTGTCGTTTTAATCCCACAGATTACTGAATGACCAAACTACACTTATTACAAGTCAAACACTGAAGCCAGTGGCTAAGAAGTTTAACTGCCAACATTAAAAAGTCACTAAAGGACTAAAAAGCCTTTTATATTTATTGAAAAATTATCTAAATAATATAAAGAGAAGCCGATGCTGCAAAGCTGACTTTGTGGAATAGTTTATGATGAAATCAAAGGAAGCAGTTCTATTGGTCAGTTATAAGAAAATGATTAAAAACAATATTATGTTAGGCTATAAAGAAGTGGAAGGGTTTGGGGCTGTGTATAAAGTTTAGTACAGTTAAGTAAGAATTTAGTACGACATTTCTTTTTAAAAATATCACACTGAACTGAATATTTTTTGGAATAAAACAGAACAGGACTAGATTACTCCTTTTCAATGATTTTGTTTGGTTTTGTTTGACATAAGCTTAATGTTTTCTTGTTATGCTTGAAATAAACTTTTAAAATAAAAAACTTTATGTCCAAGCATTTTTTTAATGAATGCATATCACCTGCTGCCTTTTATGTCAGAATTTAAGCTCATCTGATGATGGAGTCGTTGGTCAAACTGTGGAAAAATGTTTAAGTTGTATTAAAGTTAAAGCTGCCGTTTGTGTTGGGGATGACTCTCAGCTACTACTATATCAAACTTCAGCTCAGTGTTCAAACAATGAACAAATCCATGGTCACAGTTGTGCTTTTTAAGCTGTTAGCTCCGGCAGCCAATTTACAAACAAGTGGCTCAAAAAGTTCTGCCAATGGAGTACGAACACTTTACTTGGTAAGATTCTTGAAATAAGAAAGAATTGAGTCAAGTCAAGTATTTCAAGGGCAGACATTTTTGACTTAATTTGAGTCAAATTTTCAGACTAACAAGACAAATAATCTTACACATTC